TATTTTAAGAATAAAAAATAAAAATAAGTTTTTTTCTTATTCTTTCTTATTTTTTAAAATAATAATTTCATAGAATATCTAAAAGTTATTTTTATTTTTTTATTTTTTAAAATAATATTTCATTTTTTATTTTAAAAAATAAAAAATTATTTTTAAAATAAGTTGTCAAAACAGGCCCTATATTACTAGCAAGAGATCCAAATGTAGCCGCCAGAACAACAAACATAGATCTAAGAACATATGAGCCTTTAAACTCCTTTTTAATATATTTTTATTCTTCAACATTTATAAACATTACAATTTGGATCCTTCGGTTAAATACAAAAATGTTGACTATTAAGTCAAATTATATTTTCTCTCATAAGACTTAAAAATAAATTATACTTCCCCTCTTTCAAATTATAAGATAACTTTAAAAGTATTTTATTATTTTAAATATAAGATAATTTAAAAAATAAAATTTTATTAATGATATTTTTATAATATTACATTTCAAGTGGGTAAAAGAATTAAAATGATTGTAACATAATGATTAACTATATACAGTAAAAGTTATATTAAATTAAGGGTATTTTTTAAATTTTTTTAAAAATTAAATTTGTAAAATGTTACTATTAAGTTTTATTGATATACATAATTTTATATTAAATTATTTTATAATTTGAGATGAGAGTAATATTATTCATAGTCTATAAAAGATAGAAATTATAATATGTGTGTATAATCAACATGCATTAGTCTTAATGGAAAGGATAATAATAACTTAAGTATTAGGCCATAAATTCAAGTCCTTGTAAACAACAAGGACAACCTTTTTTTTTTTTTTTTTTGTTCCTGAGAGAACCATCTCCCATTAAACCCACATTAATAATACTTAAATACAAGGCAGTAAAATACTCATACATACATACATACATACATACATATATATATATATATATATATAATATGCAAATGTACGTAAATATTGAAGAATCTAAACGGAGAGGTGAAAGTGGAAGTCACATGTTCGTGGGAATGTGTGAAAAGAGGGGGGTCCTCATATTATGGAAGTAGGTGGGCCCCACTTACTGTGACTCATCATCATAGCTCTCATCTTTGTCTCATCTCTATGTTATGTTACTATCGTCTATCCCACTTTTCTCAAAAAATTTTGACACGTATTACAAAACAGGCATTATTTAAAAAAAAAAATTGATTTCATCGGCGAAAATATTCAATAGTATCATATTAAATTCGAACGTTATCAAGTTTGATTAACTCTTTCAATGCTTAAATTATAACTAATTTAACAAAGACATGTGCAAATTAATGTACAAATGAACCCAACAAGGCAATGTAGTTTAGCTGGAGTCATTGTGTCCCGAATATGAAACTGCAATTTGAAAATTCAAAACTTTTCAATCATATCATATTATATTTAAGCAAGAATAATTTTTCTAACGTTATTTTTTCATCCATAAAATTCCTACATCAACTTTACTTACATTAGAATTAATTTGACCATGAATAGAAAATGAAATTATTTTTTTTTATTTTTCTTTCCCACACTTGCATGTTTCTCCCAGAATGAGCCAAAAAAAAAAAAACCAGTTCGGCAACATGATTATTTGTTAAAATAACTTAAAATTTCAGGTAAATTGAATTCTTGAAACACATCAAAGTCAAGATAAACCCCTAAGCTCATAATTTACAAAGATACTAATAAATCACTTGCCAAAATATCCACCCATTAATAAGGACATTAATCTCAATATTTTAGATTATGAATCAAATTCTTTTCAACTCAACGGACTCTTTATTTTTATATTTTGAATGGCTTTTTTTTTAATAGAACAACGTCTAAAATAAAAATAATCTAATAATCATTCTTCTAAAGAATACATTTTTCATTTAAAAATTATCAATTGAAGCAAAACTAGTATATAGCTCATGCAATGCTCAGGATGTGAAAAAATAAAAAATAATAATTAAAAAAATTTAAAATTTAAAATGTCATTAAGTGAAAATAACTTCTTTGCTAATATCTAAATGACTTTTAATATATATATATATATATATTGCAAACATGCTGCTATTGCTGTATGTTCTTTAGTGTTATTTTACTCTCACTAATTGTTTTTAGTATAACCTATATATTTTAGTATTTGTACTAATATTTCTTTGTTTCTAGGAATTTAGAGTTAAATTTTAAGATTCTTTTTCTTTTTGCCAACAAAGTTCAGGATTCAAACATTTTATTGTCTACAGAATGTTGCTAACATGTGTAAACAATATTGCTTATTATTATAATATATTTATAATGATGTTCTTCCCTACTTTGTGCCAACCATTTTCATATCATGCATGGTCATGGAAAAACTGATTTGCCCATATTTTTCTAGACTCTGAGATATTTCATGCATTAAAATATGGAGTGGCACATTTCATTTTTAAGCATCAATATTAGGACACTTTCTCTTAAAAAAGTTATTTATATTATCTAATAAGTTTTAATCATTAATCCAATAGCTCCATCTAAATTTTCTTTTAGCATTGCCAGAAATATTAGTAGGGCAAGTGCATGTTCATTTTCCTCAAATGAGATATTTGGTCCATACTTGTCACTTGATAATAAGCTTTAAAAATTTGCACTTTTAGACTCAATTTGCAAAAACTCCCAAGTACTATGCATTTTAAAGAGGAGTGGAGGACATTGTGGAGCAAGTTAACATGTACTTGTAAAAAATAAGACATTAGTAAGTAGGAAATGGTGCTGTTGGTTCATATCCAAAGTAATGTGTTATTAATTCATAAGACATATACCATTAGCATATAGAATGAAGTACAATGTAATTAAAAAATTAAGCATCAAAAGAGTAGTTTAATCTAGATGTAGTGAACCAAATATTCATTAGTTAAAGGAAAAGATTAATAAGAACATAGACAAATACTGTTATGTATTTCATAAATAGAGAATGTTCATATTGATTAGAAGGTATGATGAAGTAGCCTCCTTGAGAAAAGGCCACCTTAAACAACAATTTCTTACGTAAAAACTTTATAAATATACATATATATGTATGTGTGTGTGTATTTATGTATGTATGTATGTATGTATGGATATGAACTCTAGAGGCATATTGACATTTTAGTTGCTATAAAAAAATAATAATTTATACTCATATTCAATGTGGCCTTAGTACAATGTCTCATTAAAAATTGAAAACCATACAATTACTTAAAGAACCAAATCCCTTTTAACTTAAATAGCATTACATTTCATCAAGCTAGAGATTTTATGGTAAAAAACAATCAAATTACAATATATCCCATATGCATCAATGAAGTGGACATTGAACCTTGAATCTAAAGGAAAGGACATAACAGACATTGAAATTTGGTTATGAAAAAAGTAACTACAGATAGTTTGATTATCTTAAAGAATGGATAAAACAGACAATATTTAAAGATGAATTCAAAAAAGGCACAATAAAGTAGAACACATATTTCTAACATTTCTTTATTTTTCTTTTTGGTGAAATATGCGAATTTTTTTATTTGTTTTTCTATCTTAAAAACCATAACACAAAGCTAATAGTCACTTGTAATAGTCACTTGAATAACACAGAAATGAACAAAATAAGCTCATAAACAAAGTTTGTAAAAATGATGACTTAAGTATAGATCTTCAAACTCACAATTAAAAGGACAAAAAGAAAATCAAAGAATAAGCAAGACTCATGATCATGTGACCCAGAGCTTGCGCACTTGCTCCATTATCTTCAATTCCAGCTTCGTTGCATCAATAATAATTATGGTTGAAATTCACAATAAATTCTGCAAAATTATGACTTTAGTGTCTTTAGTTTATATTATGTGGTAGGAGATCTCAAAACAAACTTTGCTTGCAAAGAAAATCAAAGTCATTGAGAGTTAAAAACAAATCATGTTTTGATAAAATGAGAGAGAATCTTAGGAATTCAAATAGAAAATTTTACCTTTCAACATGTAGGAAGATGGCTAGTCTCTATTTTTGGTCCCAAAAAGGAAGGCTTGTAGCCTTCAAGTTGCAAGATTTATAACAAGAATACGATAGTTATAAATTTATAACTTGCACATTATTAAAAAAAAATCAATGACAACTGACCCATTTAACAACTCATTTTACAACCATCCCATCCCATATAACTATATTTACCACGTTTGACAAGTTAGTGTTAATTTAAAAAATTAAAATTTAACTTTAAATTTAAAGCATGGCTTGACAAATTTGAGATAACATAGAAATATTTAGAGGTGGGGTAATTTTATATTTATTTTAAATTATGAGTAATTAAAATTATACTAATACTTTGAAAATAAAAATTTTAGATTATGAGTTTTTTGTAAAATTTTTAAAATTAAAATTTTGCAAAATTTTTAAAACAAATTTTAAAATTGAGATAATGTAAAGATATTTGAAGGTGAGATAGTTTTCTTTATATTTAAAAACTTAGAAATAAAAAATAAATAAAGTATAATTGCATCAAAGACAATGTCATTGCAAGAATGCTTCTTATGGTTCTACTAATATTTTCAAAATTTAAATTTAAATTTAGTCTTAATTTCACAAATGTTTAAAATTAAAATCTCAAATATTGCAAAATTCTCAAAACAGAAAATATTTAAAAATATATGTAAGAAGTTGTAAAGTTTGGATAGTGAAGAGATTTTTGGAGATGAGAAAGGTATAAATAACTTGCCTATCCTTTTAAAATTAGAATTAAAAATTTGAAATTGCAAATAAGTAAGTTAATGAGACTTACCTTTTTAAAATTAAAATTAGAAATTTGAGATTGTAAATAAGTTAATAAGTTAGGATAATGTGAGATATTTGAGGAAAGTAGTTTTATTTATATTTAAAATAGTATTAAAGACACATGTCATCATCAAGATGCTACTTACGGTATATATATATATATAGATTTGAACAGTTTAAATCACCCCAGCAGTAATCCCCTCCCTCTTGAAATTATGCAAAATCTGAATTGTGATTATTTTATTTCACTCTACTTGGATCTCTTTGTTTTATTCTTCTATTTACAACTGGAACTACTCAGCCAAAGAACAAATCTACACAGCTTCGTAATGAGCAATACATATCTATAATAAACTCATAATCACAGCTTAATTGAAGAGTTTAACAGGTACTTAACATAATAGCAGCTGCATCAATATCCGGCTACAAGTAGATATCAACCAAACTTCAAGGGAAAAAAAAGAAAAAAAATTCATAATGCTCTGGAGATAAAAACAAAGAATGACAAAATATAGAGACTACTTTGCAACAGAGAAATCAACCCAGTTGGCCAAAGATCGATATGAGCCTTCTCTGATAAACTCTGTTGAGTAATCTTGCAGACAACCAGTGCTTCAGCCAACAACATCCAAAAAATGGGCTAACTGGGAACAGTTTGACATGTTAACAGGCATGCAAGTCCTAGTCCTGCAGGTTACCACAACAAGGCTTCAAGACACGTGGCCCAGCGGTGAGCTGTCAACTGACTCTGAGCTCCGCAACTCAGAACTCACATGTATCTAACCAGTTCCAGGGTTTTGTCAGATCCAAAACAAGAACAAAAAAACAATTAGCTGGGCTGACAATGATGCAGCAAAACTACGTAACTTTACATGACAAGAATTTATTGATTCTTATAATTCGTTATTTGGATGACATATTCCTCAACTTAAAAGAATGATTAACTTAACCCACTTTTAGCTGTATCTATAACTTCAGTCCCAAAAAAAAACATATGCGACAATATAAATGTTCTTCATCAGGAAACGTTTCAAGTCCTCATTAAAACAAATTATAAGTTATGGACTGCCAAATACACAACCTATTCCTATACCTTCATGAACTCCAGTCTCTTGAGGAAGCATTGCTAGTTGGGGCGACCAGAGCTCCTGGCTCGAAAATTCAGTGACATGCAGTTATGTTAATCATATAATCCACAATGGCAAGTTCAGTTCAAGTTAAATGAGCAGTATTTTTACCATGCCAGAAAATTTTAGTCTACCCAGAAATTTATCACAATTAGAAAATACTTACAATGGAGGATAGCATTTTCCCAGCAGAAACCCACTTAAGTAGGCATTACATTGTCATTAGACCCAGGAATGTTGACTTCCTACAAAAACAAGCTTTCATCAAAACTTTCATATGGGTATGACTCAGTCCACAAACTAAGCGAATGATTGGCCAAAAAGGTTAAAAGAACTATAAGGTGATAGCTTACCAATGAAAAATATTAAAATGCCAAGCAACTTCAGGAAATCGCATATGCATATAAGCTTCCTGTTAATTATAGAGCCACCATATACAGTGGGTAAGCAACAGGAAACGCCCGAGCACAATAAGCGGTAATCCAAACTCAAGATCACTTGTAAATTTAAATACTTTACACCATATATAGTACGTGCAAGCAAGAAATATCATGATAATTTTGCACGTATTTGCCCATCAAAAGCTTGCGCGTTCCAAATATATATATCTTCTCTTTTAAAAAAATTGCCATTTCACCCAAAGATTCACAAGGAGAACTTGGTGTTAGACTTTACAGTGACATGCTAAAAGAATTCTATTGGGATGTCAAAGGAGTGAGAAGGGGAAAATAAAATGCAAGAATTCCATTGGAATGGAACACCAATCAAATGAGAATTCACAGTAATATAGATTTTTACCTTGCCCGAGGATCAAAATAACATCTGAAGCTAGAGAAACGACATCTTGGATCCTTTCACCAGAGAAAATAACTTGAACAACTGGGAGAAAGCAGAAATTGCCTGAATTACTAAGGGAAGTATATAGAGAAATAAATCAATCAAGGGGGTTCCGAAATTATTTAATAATGTATGAAAGGACAAATATGATAAGTAGCAAACACCTATTTGATTACAGGAGAAGTAAGCAGCAACTATAAGAGCTGAATGATTACCAAGTATTATGGACTCATAAGACAATAAAAATTGAAAAAAGAGAAAATTTTAAATGAAATTATAGTAGAACACTAGCACTTCATTTACAAAAAAAAAAAAAAACTAAAGAAAAAAAAGAAAACTTGTATTAAAACAACGTGTGAGTATCTATTCATTCAGCGGTTAGAAACAAGTGGAGAAAATACATAGATTCTTATTTCTACAATTTAATGAATGTTGTGCACTGACTACTGAAGTTAGAAATCTAATGAAGCAGAAAGGAACCATGAACCAAGAAAAACATACCAAAAAACCAAATAAATAAACCTTCAATTCCCCACTACAAATGCAAGCACTAAAGTAACTGCGTTACCTGGAAGATGCAGCAGCTTGTCATCCCCATCATTTCCATCAGTTGCATTTAAAGCATTATCCATGTCAATCGCCAACACATGCACAGTATTGTGTCCATCTGATATCCAGACAGTCTGGGAAACTGTGAGATTAAAACAGTATATTAGAAGAATATAGAAACAGGAATTAACGGAGACAAGATAGATTCAAATTATTTATCCTAACAGTGTCGTTGTTCTGTTATCCAAGCATTTCTCACATTCTGAGGTTTGAACCAAGAAATGTTTTTTATGTTCCTTCAATCTCCTGTCATTCTATGAGTAGAAATTCAAGTTTCATTATTCCAAGAACTTGCTTCATTAAATTGCAGCCATGTGCATGCATACAAGACAGCAGAATAAATCCTACTCTAAACAATGAGACATAACTCTACAAACGATATAATTTTTACTTGATCAAAACAGAAAACTTAAATTCATCATATCATCACCAAAACAGAACACTCAAAGCTAATCCTAAAATACATAGAAAAGTTATCCAAAAAATAACTAAAAAACAAATAAGCCGGATTAAAACCAAAAAATGAGGGGGGGGGGGACTTAATTTTATAAATACACACATGACAAGAAATAAATCTTCAACATGCATGTACATTACAGGCCTTGCTAATCTTTCAAACCATAAAAATAGTCAGTATATTGCATATCCATATTCTTTTGGTACTCTTCCAGTAAAAATTCGCCCAAATGGATCTTATAATGCATTTGAATAAATAGTAACTAATACATTTCAACAATATTTTAAAGAAAGCCTGAACAGCTTAGCTCATTTTACAATCCCACTAAAACATTAGCTGAAAACAATTTTTTTAACCAAATGTATGTGTGAACCAAAAAAAAAAAAAAAACAATCTGGGTCATTAAATCTTGAAATCATATATTTATTACCAAATAATAGTATTAAGCATTTGATTAATACATGAATAGACTATGACAAACTCAGTGGCTGAAGGTACGACACTAAACGGCTCTTCTACATTAGAAAACCTTGAGGTGATGTTTATCATAAAAAAGAATAAAATTTGCTTTCTGAACTCAAATACTTCCAACAAGAACTTGCATCAATTAGATTTACATCAAAGTCTACCAAATATCCCTCCATTATCAAGAAACAAATTGTTACATAGGCCAATCAACTTAACATGACCGTGAGCAGGTCATCTTGTATCCATGATATTGTAGATTCATTTAGGGTCTCTCTCCCTTCTTCATTTACCCTAATTCCAGAAGTCTTGCGCAGAAATATACATCCTGCCGCCGCCACCTTTCTCCTATTCTTTATTGATGTTAGTACTATATTGTATTTTTTCTATTTGAACTAATATAGTTTTGCTAGTAAGACATCCTTCATACACTTAGGTAAAAAAATTCATCTCTCTGTAAAAGAATGCTGTAAAAAAAATTACTGAGAAAAGAGAGACTCAGCTAGACTCACATCAGTAAACTGTTTAATGATAATTTAAATGGATTCTGAGTTCAGTTAACTCCCAATTCTTTCCAGTTACGGCATTTTTAAATCTAAATGAATGAATGAGAAATACTGTCACATTCCACATATTGTTGATTTCTCAAATGACAGAAAGACAGGTCACACTTGTAGAAAAATACAACATTTGTTCAGCATTAACATGATTAGTGTAAATGCATTATTAGTGAAAGGATTACATTGCAATTTTTTAACCCAAAAACAAAAAAAATTATTCCATCTTTTGCCAAGATCTAGATGCTTGAACTAAGAAACAATCTACAAACGAAATAATAAAAGTAAAATTCGATGAAAAAAGGGGGATGCATACTCAGAGAGACATCTGGAAGAATAGCCATATTCTGCACTTTCATTGTGTGAGGCAACTTCCTCATATGACCAGAAATATTTGCTGCCATAACAGAATTAGAAAGACATAGCAAGTGTAAATCTCCATCTGAGTCTAAGACCAGAAACTTTCTTTGGGACAGAGCCTGAATGGAAACTGCTTTTGTGGATATAGACACCTTCCCTGACAATTTTGTTTCCATCTCATATCTCTTCAATGACACAAAACAGGTGCTTCCATCTCTGTCATCTTGTCTAAACTTTGCATTCATCTGCTTCACTAAAAGAAAACAAAAAATATTAGATGCAATGATAGAGAATAGTGGATACAGTTTTCAATGGAATTTAGAAACGACTAATCAGGTATGAGAATCCTACAAATCCACTTCCTAACAAAAATCACTAAGATTGAGGCCACAGGAAAGGTGTCTTGTTAATTTTTTGTTATATACATGAAGAGGCATCTATATGTTACTAAAAGAACAACAGCACCTTGCATTGCACCTGGTTAAAGAGAATAATAAGAAAACAACTTGCTGGCAGAAATTACACATGCAAGAAATCCAACAGACTAGTGCCAATCAGAATAGGACATAAAAACTATGCTATATATTGAGGGCTCCAGGCCACTAGTATCAACCATCATCTAGCATTAACTAAGCAGGAAACGGTATAATGATAGTTGAAAAACAGAAAAGATCAATCCGTTCAGAACCCATGTTTATAAACACACCACATATTCTTACAAGATGATTTCCAAGTTCTAAAACAGCATTGTAGTCTGCAACACTGTTTTACTTTAGTCAAGATGAATTGCTCAGTACAGATGATGAGTATTATGGCTCCTGAGGTGGATTGCAAAGAACAGATTTGGAAAATGACTTGAAGATTAAGAAGCAATAGTGTTGAATGAAGTTAGCTCCCATTGTAGACAGTTGGATATGCAGATCCACTCGATTTATATTTCCATGGTCTTATGGAAGAACCTTCCACTCATAATTGATATGAGACACGAACAAAGATTGTTTCATTTAAAAAATCTTCCCATCAAATATTCATCATTATGAATGAACCTCCACAACCTTCTGAAAAGCCCCTTTCATCCTAGAGGTGACAAATAACACCACTTCCTACTAATCCAAAATGACCTTGAATATTTCCAGACAAGGGCGATAGATACCATCCCGTCTTACCTTAGACTTTCAGATACATTAGCCAACAGACGTGGTAAACCAACAACCATCAAATGTTGAAATTTCAATTTTCGAATTAAAAAATTAAAAGAGAAAAGGCATGAGAAAAAATCATAAGCCCTCACTTGATCTACAAGATCACCAGGGCAAAGAACAAAATTACAGCTACAAAATAAAAAAATAAAAAAATTGAAGCTTTTAAGAAGACGCTACCAAATCCATCAAGGCCATACTTTTTTCCAGTCTTGCAGCATCTCAAACCACATGTAACTAACAGAAACTCCAGAAGAAAAGCCAAAGAAGCAAAACACAACATCCCGTCCCGAAAATAATGTGGATATGTCTCCTCACTTCATCTGAAGCAGTAACGTGCAAACTGATACAAAATACTAAGCACTAAGCTCCCAGAAAGCAATTTTTTTTTTCCAGGAATAACCCCACACAAATAAAAAAAAATTGAAATTTGCTGGGAAAATTCTGTTGGCTAATATCAATAATTTAATAAATACTCACCAGGTCCATGATGTTTTCCGGTTTTCCACTCCACATCACCATTGCAGGTTATTCCCGAAACCCCCTCAATGCTACGATTTTTACCTCCTCGATCGCTAGCCCCATGTTTCCTACAATCATGGCCGACGACTCCATTTGGGAGAGAAGATCCTCGACTATCTAACTTCGAATTCTTCGCTTTATTATCTCGCCCTTTTACGAGTCGCCTAAGATTGAAAACTCTAACTCCATGTTCTTCCCCTAAAAGCAGGAACCCAAAGGAAACGCTGAGAGACCAAATGGGCTTAGGACACTCGAGCACAGCGCACCTCATTAATTTCACTACCACACCATCATCATCACCTTCATCGCTACCCTCCATCTTGGCCCCGAACACCCAGATTTTCGAGCTCGAGACAGAGTACATAGCAAAGTAGTTGATGGACCCAGCTAACTTAATCGAAACCCCGTGCTTAACGTTGACCAAAACCCCCAAATTCGACTGGAATCGGAGGTCTTTCTGAGAGCAAATAACTCGGGCTTTCGCAAAAACCTTGCTCTTCCGCAATATGTAGAACCGGAGAAGAATCTCGGACCCAGCTCTGTGGGGACCACACACAATGAAGAGGACCCGAGGGTTAAAATTAGGGTTTGAACTCTGAAGGAGAAGGAAGGTGGAGGATGAAGAAGGAGAAGGAATTAGCGTATGCAGAGAAGGAAAGGAAGAAGAAGGGGAAAAGGAGGGATAGAGAGAGAAGGAAGAGTCAGAGTGCATGAGAGCAAGAGAGTGAGAAGTGGGTTCACAGAGAATAGAGGTTATGTGAGGAGAGAAAAGAGAAGGATTAGGGAGGGTAAGCTTGGAAGCTTGGACAATAACCATTACAAGAAGAGATATAAATCAGCGGTCACTGCAATTTCTGCTAGGGAAGGCATTGATTTCTCTGTGAGGAGCGGAAGAGGTTGAAGAAGGTGTGGAACATTATTGTGTTTGGGGTGCGTATGTGCGTTGCTCCTTCCAAATTTGTTCTCGCTGTGGCCTCGGGAGATCCAAGGTTGAATTTTTTAATAAAAATAATAATAATATTCCTCCTGCCCTTCTCCAGCCATCGTATTTATATGGGTTAAGATATTCTCATATTTTAAATTTTTTTGGTGCAATTTTGCCCCAATATATTTTTTTAAAACAATGTCACCCTCCTATTAAGTGTTGATTGCTTTGACCGTCATCCTTCAAATTTTGACTCTGTTCTTTCATGTGTGCTCTCAGGTCATTGTCCACATAAGGCATTCAATTCTTCATTTAGCCATATGAGGTCTAGAACATTAAATTGTTTAACCTAAAATGTTAAAGAATGAGACCAAGATGCACAACACATTGGTGAAAGTGATAAGAGGAAGATGTCGATTGATGACAATGGAGGGAACGAGGGAGTGATGGTACGAGGAGGAATGATGAATCATTAATAGTGCCAACAGTAGACTTTAGAAGGAGAGCTTTGGTGTTAAGCTAAGGTCGAGAAATGCAATATGAAGCTCCGATAAGGTACTGTCATTGTTGCTTCTTGCTCCTTGATGGACATCATAGGGCCAGAACAACCCTGAGTGTCCAAATTATGACCAAATTGGTAGAGATTCAACTATTGTTCTTCTCTTCTTCTATGAGTCTGTCATTGTTTCTAAGCTTCTTCGTGTTTCACGGAGGGTATGAGTACCTCATGGCATGATAGTAAAATTGAGCAGAAGTTAAAGGATGTCATAAATGAGTTGATTAAACATATAGATAAATTTACTAATGAAATTGTGGCCTTGAGAAGAAAAGTAGAGGGTGGGCAAAGCTTTTGAGGAGACATTGACTTGATGTTAGAGGAAGTAAGGAAGTTGCAGAGCATCGAAGCTGAGGTTGCATATGCAAAGAAGATGAAGATGTTTAAAGTAACTTTGATTGTGTCTTGGTTGTTATTTTTCATTTTTTTTCTTGATTTTGTGAAAAACTTGGCTCATTGAAGACAATTGCAACCTTATGAACTACCTTGTAAACCTCAAGGACTCATGTGGATTGGGGAACCAAGCTGCACAACCTCGATTGTTGTTGAAAGGGAGAGGAGGATAGGGCAACTGAGGAGGAGGACAAGGAATTCTAGGATGGAGGATTAGTTATACCTTTGTTATGTACTAGTTTGGATGCTATTTTTTGAATATAGAAATTTTGATTGTTATTTTGAACTACTGTATTTAAGACTAAATATGTAATGCAGCATGGATTTATGCAAGTATAAGACAATTTGTGCAAGTATGGTATTTTAGTCAAATTGTGCTTAATAGGGATAATTGATTTATATGCTTAATCTCTAACACTCTATTCCTTTTTGTCATCTTACCTAAAGCTTAAATTTGTTATTGAGATGAGTATTTAATTTATCTCAAAATCCTTTCATAACTCTATATTGGGTTTTGAAAAGGTTTTAGCTTGAATCTAATTATGTTATTAACATTTATATTTTGAATTAAGAGCTGTGGAGATATTTAGCTTTCACCTTCATTCAGTATTTTCTATATATCTCTTAGTATACAAATCCTTTGATGTGAAACTTATTTTATTTGAAAATAGACTTGTACATCTTTCTAAAGAATTTAATCTTGTTTAAAGTATATTTTATATGAATGAGATATGATTTTTCAAAGTTGGCTGTTGAAGCTTCTAGTTCTTCAAAAAAATACTACTAATCTTTTCTCACCATTTTAATCATATCTCTTTATATACTTCAAATTTTCAAGTGGGTCTTAGTTCGTTGGAAACTAGACATCCATATATTTCCAACCATAGGTTATTTGCCTAATTTGGAGTTAGAATGAAAGAGTTATGACCTTTTAAAATTGACACAAACTCTATTCCAAAACTATGTCTGTTATTCCAAAATAGCTCACTTATTCCGATATAATTTCACTCATTCTAGTATAAATTAACTTATACTAGTATAAGGCATTAATTTTTCATGCTCTGTTCTTGATGATTGATTTCGTACTCTTTGAAACTTATTCAACGTCAATTCCTTTCATTTTCTATGAGTTGTGTTAACCTTATAATCTTTCTAAAATCATTTTTAACGCAACTTTGATTAGGATTGAACTTTTAATGCTTTTCATCATCTTTTATTTTAAATTTTTCAAGAAACTCAAAGCTTAATCTATGTTTAATCTAACTAATTTCTTTCTAAAGATTAAGCATTTGACTTGATCTTAATCTCTCAAGGATCATTTCTAATATCTAAGAAGTATTTCAGCTACTCTCAAATCAAACAATCCTTAGTCTGAAAGCTTTTGTGTATTATTCATTCATATCTTATAAGTTTTGATTCTCTCTTGTTACTAAATCTTTTCATAATCTAAATGGTGTGTTAACGTTCTTACACATTTTAGAATTTTTTTTAACATAACTTTGGATTGGATCAAGCACTTATCAATTCATATAAATCCTTTTTACCCAGATAGTAACTTAATACTTCTTCACATATAAGTTATTACTTATACCTTTACAAATAGCTTATACCCATGCAATTATAAAGATTTATGCTCTGTTTTTTAATCTCTTTTTTGTGCAACTTGAAGCTCACTCCTTTTTTATTTCTTTCATAATCTAAGTGATAGGCTCTCATATTCATCTGTCTAGAAGCCTTCCAAACACATTCTCGGGTCAAAATAAACTTGTGTTCAATCCTTAATTTTTCTTTATACCTAAATATTATGCAATCAACAAAGTTGGGGTTCAACAACTATATTATGCATTGCTATTAAATCATCACAATTTGTTACATAAGCTCCGTCAACAAGAATGATTGTGCCATTGCCATCATTCTAGTCCTTCCTCAACATAACATCATTTTTATGACAATCAAAATTGTCCTCAACGAGCCAAGCTCTTCACAAAATCAAGAAAAAAAATGAAAAATAACAACTAAGACACAATCAAAGCTACTTTAAACATCTTCATCTTCTTCTTTGCATATGCAGCCTTAACTTGGATGCTCTACAACTTCCTTACTTCCTCTAACATCAAGTCAATCTCTTCTAAAAAGCTTTGCCCATCCTCTACTCGTCTTCTTAAGGCCACAATTTTATCAATAAATTTATCTATATGTTCAATCAACTCATTTATGACATCCTTTGACCTTTACTCAATTTCATTATCATGTCAAGTGAAGTACCTACACCCTTCTGGAACACAAAGAAGCTCATAAACATTGACAAACTCATAGAAGAAGAGAAGAACAATAGTTGAATCTCTACCAACTTGGTTATATTTCAAATACCCAAGGTTGTTTTGGCTCCATGAAGTCCATCAAGGAGACAATGATAGTACATTGACAAAGCTTCATATTGTGTTTCTCGACCTTAGCTTAACACCAAAGCTCTCTTTCTAAAGCCCGCCATTGACACCATTAATGATTTATCATTCCTCCTCATACCATTGCTCCCTCCATTGTCATTGATCGACATCTTCTTCTCATCACTAGCATCAATGTGTTGTGCGTCTTGGTCTCAGTCTATAACATTTTAAGTTAAACAATTTAATGTTTCAAACCTTGAGTGGCTAAATGAAGAATTGAATGCCTCGTATGAAAAATGACATGATAGCACACAGTCAAAATCTGAAAGATAACATTCAAAGCAGTCAACACCTAACAGGAGGGTGACATTGTACCCAAAAAAAGATATGTTGAGGCAAAATTGCATCAATAAAAAGTTTAAGATATGGGTGCACTTGAAGGAAAACATTGAGGCTATTTTTGTATCTTAGCCCTATTTATATTTAAGATTAATATACAATTTAAACTTTAAATTATAAGTTTAAAGGTGATTTAAATTCTAAATTTTTAAAAAATATATTTAAATTTTAAACAATTAAAGTTGAGATAATTTTATCCCCACTATTAATTTAAACAAATATCCACTAATTGGGCCCTAATGCGTGATTTTAGAAGAGAAAAGAAGAAAAGAAGAGCTAAATTCGGTAAAAATTGCACATTATACCTCAATTTTTTAAAAAATAACATTTATTAAAATTTAACGATTGAGTGAAATTATTTCAATTTTAATTATTTAGGGTTCAAGATGTACTTTTTAAAAATTTAAGGTTTAATCGTCCATAAATTTATAATTCAAAATTCAAATTACATATTAACCATTATATTTATAACATGTTTTTTAGAATTTATTTTATTTGTATAGATAAAATATATTATGATATTTTTAAATAATAATTAAATAATTTTGCATTTATCTTAGAAAATAAATGATACATTAATTATGTATAATATCTATCATCATTATAATGTTACTTATGATATTATTATGAATAAAATTAAAAAATTAAATTTTATTAATTTTAATTAAATAATAAATTTTTATTGACATGCTATACTTGATTAATTAAAAGTATTTCATATGCAAGAGTAGAGGGAGTAAGTCCTTATAGTTTAAATGACGGAACACATTTGAATTAGCACGAAGGCATGGGAAATCCAAACGGATACTAATGATTTTTCGTTTTTCTTCCGGAAGAACTCTAGAAGATCACCATGACATATTTACAAATCATATCCAGACAGTTTTAAAAATTCAAGCCAAGATTTTGGCATTGAGGTGAAATTAATATTGACAATCAAAAGTGGATTTTACTCTGTGTTACTTGTCACATCAGCCAGACTTGTAGATTTCATAATTTTACTTGTCAATTTTTTTTTTTGCCGACATGGTTGTCAATTATCTTACATTATTTGTCAAGTTTGTCAATTAAATTACCTGTACTTCTTAATTTTTTGTCGTTCCTTGTTAAGTCTATTGTATCATGTTCTTCAACATCTAAGCTATAATAAATGCATTAGTTAAGTTATATATTATTACGTTACTTGTTGAATATTTAACTCTGGGAACACACTACTTTTGGTCTGTGCATTTTTTTTTTATATTCTAAATCTCTACATTTTTTTTGATCCATGCTTACATGTCAATTAACACTATTAAGTTTGTTTTTAT